AAAAAAAAAAAAAGTTGTCGAGGTGTAAGAGTAGAGGGTTTTCGAGCAAGGTTAAGCCATCAGTGACAGATGAACCGCCGATCCTCATGGAAATTGAAGTGGGATCTCCGCTGAGGACAAGACTGCGAAAGAGGGGTCTGAAGCGTCGGTCGATTAGATCACCGAAGGGGTCGACGAATTCAGTAAAGATTTATGATACATGTATAGGATGTCATTTAGTATTAGATATACTAATACCCTACCTATCCATGCGGAAATCTTGGTCCAAACTCTTAGCTATTGGGTAAAAGATGCCTCTTCCTTGCATTTATTACGATTCTTTCTCAACAAGTATTGGAATAGTTTGATTCTTCCAATGCCTTCAGGTTTCTAATTGGTCAAATGCTGGTCAATCCGAAATTTTTTTGAATGTATTCAAGAAAAAAGTATTCTAGAAAAGTTCATAGAATTAGAGGAAATCCTCTTTTTGGACGAAATGGTCAAAGAATATTCGGAGACACGTCGACTAAAGATTCCTACAGGAATCCACAAACAAACGAAACCCCCTTTAATGTCTTTTTGGGCAAGAGCTAAAGTAGCTTCTAATAATACTGTGATTATTAATTCCTATCAACGAGTTAATCAAAGCGGCCAAAGTGAAGGTCTTCAAGCATAGATCGGCCGGACACTCATCCCGTCATGATTGAGATTGTGGCGGGTGGAGAGCAGGTATTAAAAGAGCCATCACCGGTAGAAGGAGCGATCTCGAGGGATCATCAACATATCTCGGGGGATTGTCAACATAAGTCAAAACCTCAAGATGAGGCTGAGGGACCGATTGATCTTGGAATGTATGACAAATATCTTCCTCGTGATCCCAGCCATTTAGATGCGGTGAAAGACATGGAAGGTCATGCGCCCCAATGGTACGACAGCTTCGTCTCATCATATGTTCCTCATATACCGAATTCTCACCAGGTGCCAGAATCGACGATGCGAGCAGCGGTTATGCCGAAAGCTATGATCGGGTTTTTCGATTGGTTCGATGTAGATCTGCCTTCCTAGCTGGTGAATGTCCTTCTTGACCTGCAAAAACTCTCACACTAGAGGAGTTTTTAAGTGAAGATCCTCCGATGCTTAAGTTACCTCTTGTAGAAGATGAAGTGCAATATGTATTTAGTGATTATAGAGAATGTAACGTGATAATGGAGACCTATGCAGACCACCCGGACCCTTAGCCGCCAGCGACGCCAGATAGTCTGCCACGAAGTTGGCTTCTCGATAAACATGACTATGCTGAAGCACCCTTCGTGGCTTCTAGATAAACATGACTATGCTGAAGCACCCAAGGGCGGCCCAATAGCTCTCGTATACTCCGCAGAAGACAACCATGTGGCCTGATATACCAGTCGTCTTGAACCATGTCCAAAATGGACTTGTTATCAACTTCGACTCGAAGATTACGCGCACCGATGTCCCAAGCCAGATGTAGGCCCTGAAACAGGCCCCACAACTCTGCCCCGACAATAGAGCAATACCCAATATTCATAAAGAATCCACGCACCCAACTCCCAAGGTGA